TTATATTATTAAACCAAATATAAATTACTTCGTTATTGTATATAAATTAACTTATAAAAAAATTGAATTGAAAAATTACACAAAAAAATGAGGAATTTTAAATAGTTAATTTGATACTAATATCGATATATTTTTGTCAAATTTTTATGATATCTTCAAACGTATATTTTATTCAAAAATAAAATATCATCACTTTCTCAAAATCATATAAAACCATATTATAACATCAACCGAGATAAATAATAAAATTAAATATTAAAATCACGATGTATCTCGCTGCATTGCGCGAGTACGCTTCTAGTTATATTATAAAGTATTTGATAAAAACTCTTAAAAACTATTTTTTATGCATAAAGTACTGTTTATTGATGCATATTCAAGATCACAAGTAAATTGTGCACAAGTACAATTATTAAAGCTTCATTTTTGAATTTGTGTAATTAACTATAAATAAACATAATTAAATATGGTATTAATATTTCATTTTAAATATAAAAAATCTAAACTGTAATTAGGATAATCATTACTTATAACAAAACACTTAATTATTATCTTTATAAAAATTATATTATTAAAAAAATAAATAGATTATTTCGTTATTAAATCTAAATTAAATTATGAATAAAATATTGAATTAAAGAAATTATAAAAAAACCAGAACTTTAAATGGTAAATTTGATACTAATATCGATATATTTTTTTTCAAAATTTTATGATATATTTAAATTTATATTTTATTAAAAAATAAAAACATTATCTTTTTCTCAAAACCACTAAAAACCGTATTATATCAACATAGATAAATAATAAAACGGAGCATTAAAATTAAGATGTATCTCGTTATATTATGCGAGCGCCCTTCTAGTTTATAAATAATTCAATTTCAATTATATTTATCTTCAACAGGCTCGTTTCTAATATCTTATAGGTTCTGTACAAGATATAAAAAACGGATAATCGACAGGGACGACCCTATAATTTTTTTTCAAACGATGACACTATTTGACTATAAGAAAAATAATATAGGGAAAAATTTTCAAATAGTAACACCATTTGACTAAGAATATGGAACTAACATGATTCGAACTTGGATCCGAGGTGGAATAAAAATCTTGTAAACCAACTCTACCAAATAAAACTTCTCATTGTAGTTTCAAAATACATACGATGACATACAACAAATTAATACGGTTGCACCTTTCACGAACTTAATTTGGGAGGAATAGTACGGTGGCACGTGCCACCGTAACCACCATACTAGGTCTGTCCCTGATCATCAATAAATATGAAAAAGTTAACGTAAGATCTGGTTTTATAAAACAACTGTAATACACCAAGGCAAAACGTTCAGAAACAAGCAAAATAAGCTATACTTTTAGTTATTCTAAAAGTGTCTGATTCAAGGATGAATAAAAATCTCTTTATAGCTACAGATGTTCAAATGCAGTAATCATAGGTGGTTGCTCTGCGATTATTCGACCTACATAACGGGTTAGATATCCAGGTTATATATAAAAAAAGTTGTATCTTTTATTTAATAAAAATTAAAGAATTTTATTCTACAATTTCGTATAAAAAAATTGGATATAAATAGCATATTTATATGTGGGCCATGCATTGCATGTGATACGTAAGATGTTCCTTCAATGTCAAGCAACATCCAACACCATTCACTTCATTCTCAAATGCTATGATTCTTTCTTTAATGATTCTTTCATCCTATTCTTTTACTAAATAATTAATACGTTTCCTTGTATTTTTTTCGATATCTGTTTGGTTTTTCGTTAAGTTTTGTATAAATACAGTTGTCTGTGTGAATTAATATGTCTGTATGGTCGGAAAGAGTTATCTGCAGATGAAATAAACGTGTTTTTTTTAATTGAGAGGGGCATGTTTAAAAAATTTTAGTTTTTTGTAAAAAAATCCACTTTTTGTGAAATTAACTGTTTTAGACACTTTCTGAAGCGTTAATTTGCACAGGGGCAGATGGCCATAGGGGCCTTGGCCCCTGGGCTTCCCCCCCTCCCTCCCTCCCTCCCATCCAATTAGGGGTGATCAAGGGTTGAGTTGATCGGGTTGAGGACATTTGAACAACCCAACCTAATGCTTGCGGTTTGGAAAAATCTTAACCCAACCCAATCCGTACAGGTTGGTCGGGTTGATCGAGTTGATACTTTGGTATATTAAAATATTCTTCTAACCTTGAATATGTTATTTCTCTACTCATAATTTTTTTTTCATCATCAACCATTTGATAAAACTTATTCATATTTCTTACGTATATCACATTCAGTTAATTTTCTCAATTTACATATATATGTTCACAGTTACTGAATGAGTTATATAGAGATATAAATAGATTGAAAATATGTGTATATGAAAAACATACATGATAGTGTAATTGTTTAATGTATATATTAATAGAAATTCAATAATCATATTAAATCCAAGAAATAAAAGGATATCGAGTTCATCGGGTTGGGTTGGGTTCAAAAATAGTAACCCAATATCAACCCAATACCTACGGTTTGACAATTTTACAACTCGATTAGACATCGGATTGAGTTATTTAAAGTTGGGTTGGGTTGAGTTGATCGGGTTTTTGAGCACCCCTACCCCCAATAGAGTGAAACATCTCCGGTACATTAAGGTTTTAAGTACAAGATTCTTTTGGGCTCCTTCACTATTGCTGATCCAGTCCATTTGTGTTCCGCCTCTGAATTTACAACAAAAATCAAACACAACAGTTAAAATCATTTTTCTGTATATAATAGTTAGTATATAACGGAATTACAAATACAATAGTTAAAAGGGTTCATTAGTGAATATTTTGGACATAGATTGGGATCAAGGCATGTATTCCATTTTATGGGACAAGTTCTTCTGGAAAAAGGTATTCTGTATTCGGGATAAGTTCATATGAGAATAAACTGATTGGTATTTTTAGAAAAAAAATTGTTGGAGTTGCGTAATAGTAAAGCATGCAACGTAATGTGACTGATTCTTACGTAACAGTACACGAATATGTTATATATAATGAAGGTACGAACATTTTTTTTTTTTTACTTAATGAGGGGAATAAGCTTTAATAGCTTATTCGCTCAGATAACATGTATCTATTGTTCACATTTAATCATCTTATTTCTTACATTTTTTAACAGAAAAAAAGAAGCAAATAACTTAAAGACTCTGGAGGTCTTAGGTTCGAATTCAAGAAGGAATAAAAATCCTCTTGTGGCAACGGAGGTTCAAATGTTATGACTCTGGGCTACCCGCGAAGTAGTGGTGCTAATGAGTTGGGTTGATCGGGTTGAAGACATTTGAACAACCGAACCCAATGCTTGCGATTTGGAAAAATCTTAACCCAACCCAACCCAACCCAACCCGTACGGGTTGGTCGGGTTAGTCGGGATGATACTTTGGTATATTAAAATATTCTTTTAACCTTGAATATGTTATTTCTCTACTCATAATTTATTTTTCATCATCAACCATTTGATACAACTTATCCATGTTTCATACGTATATCACATTCAGTTAATTTTCTTACTTTACATATATGTGTTCACAGTTATTGAACATATATATGAATGAGTTATATAGAGATATGAATAGATTGAAAATATGTGTATATGAAAATCATACATGATAGTGTAATTATCTAATGCATATGTTAATAGAAATTCAACAATCATATTAAACCCAATAAATAAAAGGATATCGGGTTCATTGGGTTGGGTTTGGTTGGGTTCAAATAATAGTAACCCAATATCAACCCAATACCTACGGTTTGACAAATTTACAACTCGATTAGACATCGGGTTGCTTCGGGTTGGGTTATTTCACGTTGGGTTGGTCGGGTTGATCGGATTTTTGAGCACCCCTACCACGAAGCGGGTGGTCGCCCTGAGATTAGTCGGCTCGCATAGCGGGTGATCATTCTGGGATTAGTCGGCTAGCATGACGGGTTGGATATCCAGGTTAATAAAAAGAAATTATTTTTGGAGATATCTCCAAAGTTGAAGAATTTCATAATCTCTCTCATACTTTGTCCATTTTTGAGAAGGTTTTGGGGAATTTTTTGGAACAAAACCCCCCAAAATCTATATTTTTGAGAACCTGTTGGAGATGCTCTAACATCACAATTGAACTTGTTGATAGACAAAGAATTAGACTGTAAAATTGAAATAATAAATACACATTGCATTCAATCAGTTGAACAGTCATATTCAATGCAAAAGTCGAGTTTAGTCATTCTAAAAATCCCAAATATTACATACGTACTTGAAATCAAGGTTTCAAATAGCATGAGGCGAGGCATGGAGTGACGGTTCAAGCCTTAGGAGCCATGACGAGACTACAACGCTTTCCAATATGACTTACAGTGACAAATCTGTATATCACATGTACAATTATATATTCATACACACATGCTTTCTATTACTGAACTAAAATGTATGACATTGAAAATGTAAATAAAAGTAAAACAACGTATTACTCAAACTGTACACAGGGTCATGGCATGCCACACACTTACTGTGGTACCAAAGACGAACCTTGAGCTGTGACGCTCCATGACAGATGCCATAACGAGCCTTTTAGGACACTGATTGAGATATAACGACTCAATGATTCCAATACTGACACCGATGACATGATGATTCGTCGACTTGTTCAGTGTAGGTCGAGGCCCGCTTGGTTGAATCGCTGATCAATTCAAAATCCAAAATCAAATCATTAACCGATATGATCGAAAGTCGAAACTGACAAATTTCGCAATCCTTCGGTATGGTCTAGAGGCCCAATAAAAAGCCCAATAAAATAAATGTCTTATTGCAAATTTGATTTTGCTTTTGGGTTTCTTGAAAGCCCATAAGTTGAGGGATTCTTGGTTATAGGTAGAAGCCCATAAGCTAGAACTAGATGGATATCCGATTTAGGGCTTCTGAATTTTTGATGGCTTCTTTCGTTCTGCCGATCGATGATGCGTGGTTGCTTCAGCGTTAATCAAGCACTAATTACTGCAATTGATCAATGTAAGCTTTTATATATGTATGTTTATTGATTGTCCTCCTTTTCTGAAACCCTAATTGGGAACGAATTAAACCTATGATTGTGATTGTTTGAACCCTAAAGTAGTTCGGACCGTAATTAGTAGACCTATGATTGTATGAACCCTAATTAGTAAACAGTTCGGAAAGGGAATTTGGGGTGTTTTGATCTCTTTGAACGTAATTTGGGAGCTGAATATTGGAAATGAATTAGGTTTATATTTTCATAATGATCTGTTCTCTTTGATTGAAAGGAAAGTTTTCAATTGACGCCATTTCGTGTTCCTTTCGTCAAAAATGTATGTGTAAGAAGGATGAACTCGTATTTATAATTGGATTTGATGTCACTCACTTTATTCATATGTGAATCAGATTTTGCTAAGAGGTTGTTCCCTTTTGCTCAATTACTCTCATCTGACCTCTCATATTGGTAGAAATCTCATTTTGGATATAGATGTTATGTTTTTCTAGTTTATAGCTCATAAGAGACTCAAACCGCCTAAACTAGTAAGATGAAACCGCATTTTTGTAGTCCAGTTTGGTCACTTGCTGCCAAACCGCTTGGTTTGGAAAGATTTCTAAACCGCCAATGCAGTTTGGATTGTGGTTTGGGGGGTTAAATCTCCCAAACCGGACCGCGAACACCCTTACTCTATCTTGTGAGCTTCTTTGGCTCCAACATACATTAGTTTAAAAACATTAATTTTAAACCTCCAAAACATACGGGATATAAACTTTAGTTTAAAACCACCAAAACTGTTCAAATGGTTTGACCCAATAAAGTTGAACACAACCCAAATTATTAATTACTTACAAGTCGAATGAACCTAAACCAACTGGGACATAATACAACTATCCTGAATGATTAAAATATATATATATATATATATACATGCCAAAATATTACAAAAAGAACATCACAAATCATGTACCAAAAGCTAGATCGAGTTCTTCGACTTCAACCAAATCAACTACTTCAACATATCATATACCCACAATGCATCAAACATAATGCATAGGACTAGCAGGGACCCACAATCATCATCCGGGTATGCCCAAGCCCCTATGCATAACAAGGACTAGCAGGGACCCACCTTCATCTCCTGAGTTTGCTGGAGTCCCGTACTCATTCCCACTCCGAACCATTGGACAATGAGTACAACACACGAACGTCTCACTGGCTCCCCTTCACCCGGGCTGTTGACATCCACTTTTGCTTCCCGGCATACTACACAAAGTAGTACCCGTACTCCCGACATAACAAAGAAACCAAAGAAACAAAACCAACAGAATTTGGATTCGAAACCGTCCGACAACACGAGGAATCTCAATATGAAGATGAACGTACATGATTGACCAAAGAGCAAACCAACAAACTCAGAGGACATCCAGATCATGTGAACATAGAAGATATACATATATACACACATATACAATATAATTTGAATAAACATTTAACTCACCGAACTTTTACCGTTACCAAACGAAAGCTATAACGTAGGTTACGTCCCAACCTCGTGTTTACACACTAAAATACCTTCCAGAAGCACCAAACAAGCTCCAAATATCCCTTGGAATATGTACATTAAGTTTCATGAGAATTGGATGCATATAACTCAATTTAACCCCATGACTAGTTAACTTTTATACTTTAGTTTTTTTGTTACAGCACTGTTTTCTAGCCCTATTTTATCCCACTTGACTTCAAAATTACTCAATGACTTCTAAAGATGAATTAAACAAAACTCAATTATCTTTCAAATGGAACTGACCTCATATCTACCGGATTTTTCTTTGATTTTATACGAAATTTGCAACACAGCAACTACTGAATTTTGACGGCACTGTACAAAGTGCACTTTTTACCCATCTTAAAGCTGTAATTATTCACCAAGAATGATGTTAATTACCCTCCTATGTGTGTGAAATCTCACCTAGTAACCCCAGAAGTTTGTAGAAGTGAAATGGGGTGAAAATGGGGCCAAAATCGGGTTCTTACCGAATTAAACTCGTTTTGGGTCGGGTTGACCCGGTTGGGTTGACCGACCCATCACCCATTTTGACCACCTAAGACTAAAAAATTCATAACTTTTCGCTTGGACCTCTGTTTTCGATGAGGTTTTCGTCTACGCGTTTGTGACTAGATAATCTATAACTTCCAATAAAAATATTCCAGAAAATACCTCCCAATAAGAGCAGTTTTATATATTTGTAGGTGTTATGCTTTCCTTTGTAATTTTGTCGTTTTTGATTTTGAGCTAGGAATCCTGGAAAATTTTTGCGACACCTCCAACAACTCCTAATAGGTCCACAACTTAGCTCCAATGCTTAACATCCCATCAAACACCGCCCATTTGAGTGTTGTGTGCGTAGCTTACAGAAATAGCAACGTAATTTGTAAAACTTGCATACGCAATTTTTTCGACTTCCATCACTTTTAACACTTCATATTAACTTATTCAAAGGTATTCCAACCTTTACATCACCATTTAGATCATCCGTTCAAGTTTTGGGTAGGTCACCTTTCTATTTTGATCCCTCACATCATCTAATTATGTCATTTGTGAGGTGTTAGCACCAAACTTACCTTCTACATCTCATTCTAACTATGGGTTCTACTTGTAGCTCACCGGTACACTGCATTTTAGCAAATTCTCTTTTTACACAATTAACACATAAAGTATGTTTTAACATGTAATACATATTTAGAATCACTAGTTAAGCATATTTAGGAGGGTGGATGTTACATTTTGGCACTTCCTAAGACTGACATTGAATAGGAGTTTGTGGAGACGTAGTATTAGGGTTGCAAGTTTTGTGCGAGGAACTCTAGGTCTTGTAGTTGCAGGCGGATTCCCCCGTCCCCCCCACCCCCCGGGGCCACGGTGAAGTTAGACAACAAATAATTTGGAATCTAAGTAGGGTAGCCAGGAATACCGATTGTGAGAGTTTTGTCGTGATGGGGTTTTTGGGCCACTTGGTTGCGTAGCCGATTTTTGTTTTTGTTGTTCATACTTGCTCGAAGCATATTTCATGGTATTGACTGTACGTATTCATTCTACTTGTTTAAGAAACAGTTTTTAATTAACTAAATGACAGTTTTATCTTTGATAACAGAGGAGGTAATGAATTTATCCACCTCATAACTAAGGGTAGAATTGGAAAGTAGATAATTACTTCAGAAAGTGGACACTTATTCTGGGACAAACTAAAATAGAAGTACGCACGCTTATTTTAGGACAAAAAGAGTAAATATTAGCGTCGTGTTAATACATATCCAATTATACATTTCTTTCTTTGTTTCAGGAATAATGCATTTGGTACTTTAGCCACACGGTAGCAAAATGCCCGGGGACCAAAGATGAAACAAAGATTGGTCCCATAAAGACCGAGGGCTGGGTGGTTATAGAGGTAACTCGGTGTTTGGCAACTTGATCCCTACCATCACTGTTAACTCGTGTTCGATATGCACTTTCGTGGTTTGGTTGAGGGCGACCGTCCATTATCGCGCCAGCCCTTTTTACCCCATATACATAAAGAAAATGACATTTTTGAAGAGATATGGGATATTTGCAAGTTGCATTTGAGATATGATTGATAAGAAGTTTCCACTTCATTGCTTTCTTTCTTTATCTTTTGAACGGGATATACTGAATACGTTTGGTTTAATTTTGTTTTCAAGTTTCGTTTGCCCTTTCGGGATAATATCGAAGGGCATAACGTAAAAAATATCTTAATTTCTATTTAGCGTAACAATGTTTTTTTCCGATCAACATAATAAAGCTTCGACTTTTTTTTATATCCATTTTGACTGCTGATCTTGTAATATTTAATGATATGTAAAGAAATGGATCATCCCACAAGTAATATTGGCAATCGTGAAGGAATTTTTTAAAACGATATCCTTGAATATGATATGGTTTAAGACCACATGACAATATTAGCCATACCACGGAATTTCTTTTTGAAAATTGTGTTGGATTGTTAAATTATACTTATTAGGAAAAATTTCTTTTATCTCATGATTCCATCCACTTGAAACTTCGCTAATTTTATTGTTCATTTTATCGTAACCTTTTAAATTGGTATACATGTTGTCAATTGTTACAAGATCTGTAGAATATCGAACGGTTAGAAAGCATGAAAATTCAAAAACGGTTGAGAAAAAAAAATATTTGTTATGCTTAATAGAGAACTAAGTCAAACTTTATCTATACTATATTATAAAGCATTTGATAAGAACTCTTAAAAATCATTTTTTATACATAAAGTAGTGTTTATTGATGCATATTACTTAAAATTCAAGATTACAAGTAGATTATGTGTGAGTACAACTTATTAAAGTTTTATGTTTGAACTCGTGTAACTAACTACATATAAACATAATTAAATACATGATAAACATCTCATTTTAATTATAAAAAATCTAAAATATAATTAGGATAATCATTGAGTTCTAACAAAATATTTAGTTATTATCTTTATAAAAAATTAAATTATTATACCAAAGATAAATTGTTTCGTTATTAAACTTAAAAAATTATATTATTAAACCAAAAATTATTTTCAAAATTTTATGATATATTCACAAATGAAAACATTATCGCTTTCTTAAAACCATATAAAATCGTATTCTGACATCGATAAAGATAAAAATAAACGGAACATTAAGATCGATATGTATCTCGCTGTATTGCACGAGTACCTTTCTAGTTGCATTTATAATGCATTTTACCCTATATTGAATTCTGTAAGGAACGGAACAACTTCTCAGCTCCTTAGGATAGAGTTAAGTTCTTAACCAATAAGCCCTACTTTCAAGTGGAATATACGAGATCTGTTTGGTTTGGCTTATTGAATCTTTTAAGGTTATTTTGCTTTTTGTTTTTTCTTAAGTAAACCCGTACTCATATAAATCAATAAGTTAGCTTTTAAATCAACTAAAATCACGATAAAAAAAGGTTGTTGGTTGTCCATTACAGACTTATAGTGGTCCAATGATACGTGTATTTATATTGTATTGTATCTCGAAAGCAAGATGATGGATTTGCATGGAATAACGATCAGTTTGTTTGGTTCTTCGTCAATTTGATAAAGAAAGGGAAATTTTCCGTCACCACGAACAAATGAAAATTTGATTTTAATATTATGTCAGTGTTATTACATGTGAGAAGTCAAGTCGAAACGTATGCACACGTTTTGTTAACGATCCTACAAAAGAAAAAAAATATTGTATCAAATTATAAGTCGACGTTGACATGACGATGAAGTTGTTAAGGAAATTCAACACGAGTAAATTAGCGAATAAATTTAAACTTCATAAATAGTTGATGATATACATACATACATAGGGTTGGGTTCACGTGAGATCAAAAGTTTTTCGTAAAACCCGTAAGACCAATTTATATTCAATGATCAACTTTATAAGCTAATGATCTAATGGTCTAAAGTTGCACGGTGACAATTTTGTGATTATTTAGAAGTCTCGTGGCAATTTTGTGATTAGGAACAATTAAATTGTAGATCTAATCCAAGGGTTGATAATTGGTTTTACGGGTCTCATGAAAAACCCGTGGTCTCACATGATCCCAAGTCTACATAACATATGTACATATATATATATATATATATAGAGAGAGAGAGAGAGAGAGAGAGGAGGATCAATGAGAACATAGTCAAAATAAGAGAACTCGAGAAATGGTGAAATCACAAATGATTTTGCACTGAAATCAAATACGATTATGAAATACGGTCAACGCGTAGGTGCATGGGTTACTTGGCCTATGACCTAGGTCATGCACAATCACATGTGATTTTACACACAAGTTTAGTATAAAATCACATGCGATTTAGCAGTTCTTGACTTCTCGTGTTCTCTTATTTGATCACTATTCTCATTTGAATACAATTCTCTTCTCTCTCTCTCTCTCTCTCTTTTTATATATATATATATATATATATATATATATATATATATATATATGAGTTTGAGTTTGAAATATCTGATTACACTACCGAATGTTGTAGAAAAGACAACAGTACGTTGTTGTACCAATCATCATTGCACGGAAAATGCATTTTCTTATATAATTGTAAAATCTGATATGATCAATAAAATTTATAAGATTTGAACTTATAATCACACAGATTTAGATCTCATGAAATCGTTTCTTACATGGTATATAACACAAATCAGTAACATTTAATAAAATAACAAATGTTTTTTTATACTGAAAACGTCTATAGTTTATCTGATATTTATCTTTTAATATTCTTTTTTTATTAGAGAGAACTCAAATACTTTGGCATCATTGAGTTTTCCACTCTCCTCAAATTCCATCATGAATATTTCCTTTAAAATTGAGACAATCCCATGAGGTGAAATCCTTAAACAAAACAAAAAAATTATTTATTTAAATATAATTTTTTAAGGTATTTTGAGAAAATAAATACATTTAAATCTCCTTTTTACATTTTTCACTTGTGAAAGTATAAACATTAGGCAGAAAAGGGAGAAAAAAAATATGTAAATACAATAAAAATGTACTGATAGTTATGTATCAGTTAAAAATTAGTTAGGGATAACTGAGGTAGTTTTATTTACAGCAAATTGTACCTAAAATACACATAGTTTCTTTTAGTTATAATTTTTTGAACGTATTTTGACAAAGTACTTTGGATGGGATGAGCAACGAGTCATAGAAAGTTAGAAAGTGTGACAACCGAGGGGGCGAGGAGGAAGGGTAGGCCGAAGAGGGAGTGGTATGAGCAACTGGGGTTGGACATCACTGCTTTAGATATTTCCGATTACATGACATCTGATAGGAGTTCTTGAAGATGCATGATTAAGGTAATAAAATAAGGGTGGGATCTAGAACTAGCATAAACAGCAGGAACGAAATTAGGTTTTCATGGCCTTAAGTTAAGCTAGGGTCTGTACTTTCCTTAGCTTGACTATGAGACTATTTGGTTGTTGCTGAATAGTTTAATGCAAAATGATTAAGTGATCAGAATGATTAAGAGATTTCATTAGAATAGGGAAATCTAAGATACAAAATCATTCAGAGGGCTTTAGAACTATTAAAAGACATATTTTTTTTTGCCAAACAAGATTCACCTTTTAGCGATTTAGAGACTGTCTCTTAATGAAACTATTAAAGAGGTAAACACACAGCTCATATGTTTCTTGTACATGATTCTATCTGAAAGCTGTTACTTACTCATTTACTTTTCAAAATTATCATATCAACCTTTTTTTGTTTCGAGTTCTTTTTTTTTTTCGAGGTTTTTTCCTCAAAACTTTTAGCCCAATTCTCGTTTTTACACACTTTTCACAAAATAGAGTTTTCACGAAAACAACTGCTCTACAGTATTTGATATTGATGTCAGGTCTAGGAACATCAATCTTCCAGACCCTACCTCCAGGTTGAAAATACAGATCATTAGATAGACGTTTTTAAACTATTAATTTTTAATAGATCTTTTTCAAACCATAAATATTAAACATCAATTTTGTAAGCATGTTTCAGAAAATGATAAACCTGAAAATTAAGTAATATAATTTTTTTTATTAAAAAATAGTTTTAATAAATATAAAAAAAGAATTAATTTAATTATCCAAAATAGTTGATCCAAGCTCATGAACCCACCATAGAAGGACATGGATGTGGGATGATGGGCTCTTTCAAATATCACTATTTTCATAATAAATAATAATAATAATAACAACAATATTTAAATCAGATCTGTTTTAAACTGTTTTTATGTACGATTAAATATGATTACTGACTATTTCAACTACTTTATTTAACTCCAAAAGATTATGGTACAGTTGCAAACTGTTATTTAGTACGTCCATTTTTAACTAACTTTTATATCTGGTATTTTGTCGAGTTGGACCTTATTCATGCTTTGAGCTATTCTTGGTCGAGTTGGTACTTGGTTGAGTTTTCTTTAAAGATAATTTTGAACCATGTCATTCAAATCTTCTACGTTTTGTGTTTCGTCTTGAGAAATACAATTTGGACCGGTTATGGATCTGATCCTTGTGGCGAAAAAAAGTCTGGTGCTTAACTCGTCCTTGTCTGAAAACCAGGATCGATCTGGATCCAATTAGTTCTGATTTTTTGACTTTTAAAGAAGATCCGCTATTGATTCTACAAAAGCAGGTCTAGACATTCAGACATTCGCAAACCAGTATTGAACTGGGCTTTTGACATATTTGACACTTATCTGATCGTCCAACTCTAATTCGATATTTTTTTTCTAGATTGGTTTTTAACTGGTAATTGGTAAGAAACTAGGACTGAATCGGGCTCGTAGGACTGAACCAAGCCTGTAACAGATCATATCGATCCAATTCTTGATTCAGATTCCTCTGTAGTCCGTTTATACATCTCCACTTCCGTTGTTGTTATATAAATGTAAATCACAGTTTTATTTCTTCTAATACCATATTAACAAAACTTACAAAATTATTATTATTGCTAGGAACCGAAAACAAATTTGCCATCTACTTATAGCTATTCTTTTAAAATCTTTATGTGTTTTGTTAGTTCTTTTTGTACGTTTTACAATCATCATCGTTGTCATCCCATCAACATTATGACCCCATTTTCGTCACTACAGGCCATGATATTTCCTCTATCACAATCAACGACCATATCATTACAATAATTCAGTATTTGCTTAGAATACGAAAAAAAATACAAGAATATTGAAGGGTGCTCAAAAAACCGATGGTA